GCATGAAGGGAGGGCTAGGAATGGGGAAAAAATAAGAACCAAGATGCATTATGTAAAGGTACAATTCTCAATGAGAAATGTAATTCTGTTGTATACCTACAATGTACCAATAAAAGAATTTAATTTAAAACAAATTAACCAATAACAAATGCTGGCGGGTCTGTGGGGAAAAAGGAACCCTTCTCCACTGTTGGTGGGAGGGTAGAAACAGTGCAACCACTGTGGAAATCAGTGTGGAGATTTCTCAAAAAACTAAAACTACAGGTTCCACTTGACCCAACTATACCTCTTCTTGGCATCTTCCTGAAAGAACTGAATGCATCATACCAGACTGATATATGCATACCCATGAATAGCAGCATAGTTTGTAATAGCTAAATCTTGGAAACACCCCAAATGCCCATTAACAGATCAGTGGATAAAGATGTGTTTTTTTATACAGTGGAGTACTACTCTGCCATAAAGAATGTTGGGCTTCAGATATTTATAGCTAATGGATGGACCTTGAGACCACACTCTTAAGTGAAATAAATCAGACACACATGTTTAAAAAAAAAACAACTCCACCAGGGTGTTTCTAACATATATTCAATTCGCTGAACTCTTTTTTTCTTCTTCTTGGTAATGGGGATTGAACCAAAGGCCTTTGCACTGAGCTATGGATCCCCAGTCCCTTTCTTTCCTTCCTTCCTCCTTAAATTTTTTAAAATTCTGAGACAGGATCTCAGTAAGTCACTGGGGTCATGATCTTCCTGCCTCAGTCTTCCAGAACACTGGGATTACAGGGACATGCCACCAGGCCCAGACTCAAATCACTGAACTCGTAAGCCTGAAGCAATGTTCCTAATTCACAAATGAGGAAACTGAAGCTCAAAGAACTGGAGCCACGTTCCTAAGATCATGAAAACTGTTGGTGACAAAGTGTTTTCCCCTTGGTACTGGGGCTCAGATGTAGGGCCTCATGCATGCTAAGAGATGAGGTTTTCAGTCTAAATCTTCTGACTGGAAGTCCATGGCTCCTCCAACTAACCCACTGCTGAGTTAAAATGGGAACAGTAGTAAGACATCATAAAGAACTCAGCCTCAGGAGCTGGTGGTTTGGAGGTGTGGCCATGGTAGAGCACTTGTCTAGCATGGGCAAAGTCCTGGGTTCAATCTCCAGTACTGGGGGGGAAAAAAAAGATACTCCTTCTACTGAAGAGCTATGGGATATAACTGTTAAGATTTTTTTCCAAGCCAAGAGGAATAAAAATATCAATGAAGCATTTCTGTGATGAACAAGTGTCAGCCTTGGATTTTACCATATACTGAAATCACAGCCAAGATGAGCCATGCAGTCCACTCGGGGAGGTACTTGATGAATACAAGGGCCATGAGGGCACTGATCATAATGAGATATGCCTGCTGCAGTCGAAGGGGACCTTTCCAGTGAATGGAAATCATTCCCACCACACCAAAATTCCAGATCAGGAGTGCAACTGTAATGTAGTCCATGGCAACATTATAGGTTTTAAACACTTCCCTGAAAAAAAATTAAACAGATTTAAAAAGATTTATATGCAATAATTCTTACCAAGACATTGTTCAGAACTACATTCCCAAATACAAGATATTCAAATGCCACCTTCATATTTTTACCATGTTCTATATTAACATTTTTCTTTAAATTCACTTTTTCCTCAAGTGGAGCTTATTTTTGTTTGTTTTTGCAGTTACTGGGGATTGAACCCAGGACTTCATGCTCTACTCTACTCCCAAGCTACTCAGTCCTTTTTTTGTGTGCGTGGTACCAGAGATCGAACTCAGGACCTTGCACTTGTGAGGCAGGTGCAGCACCACTAAGCTAAATCCCTGGCCCCCTCTCCCAGTCCTTCTTGAGACAGAAGCTCACTAAGTTGCCCAGGGTGCCCTTGAACCTGTGGTCCTCCCTCCTCAGCCTCCCAAGCAATTGGAATTAAACATGTGCCTATAAATTTTATAGCTAGAACATAAATGATGTTATTTTCATACAATGAAATTTAGTGTATTCATTAGAAAATGTGTATTTTTAAGACATATATACACACACAGTACACAGCATTTCATACTGTTGAAAAAAAAAGATGACACTGATGAGAAGTAGAATATAAAAGGAAGAGCAAGAGATTGACATACTAATTCCTGAAAGATGATGGGACTTTCATTTAGTCTTATGTCTTTTATTTCTATTAATATGTGTTTATGTATTTTATGAGGGGGTGTCCTGGGGAGCAAGCCCAGGACCTTGTATATGCTAGGCAATTGTATTTTTTTCCGGTGCTAGGGACTGAACTCTTGCATATGCTAAGCTCACCCTCTACCACTGAACTATACTCCCGCTTACTTTTTTTTCTTTTCTTCACAATCTGGGTATGGAATCCAGGGCTTCATGCATACTAGGCAAGTGCTCTATCACTGAGCTCCATTACCAGCACCTACTTTTTTTTTTTTTTTAAACAATGAATGCTTAACATTTGTATAATGAAGAAAAATAGTATTTGTATTTTAGGGAAAATATCCACCATTTAAAAAGAAAGAGATTGCAACTGTGGAAGATGTCCTGGGTAACTGAAGAGAAAGTACATGCAAACTTTTTAAAGTGCAGACTTTGGGTTAAAGGGGCCATCCAGGAAGATGATTCTTCCCCTCACTTTGAAACTGCAAAACAAATGCTGAAATTTCTGAATAATGCTGCTATGTGTGCTAAGCATTTCTGATATACTAGTACTCAAACTAAACAAATTAACATCAATCTTTACAATGTAATACATGAACCATGAATGAGATAAAATTCACAAAAGACGCTATGAAAAGTAAGTTTCCTTTCCTATTCTCTCCCAGTTTCCTCTCTAGAAGAAAGCACTACTATATTACTAATTTTCCATGTATCTTTTCAGAGAGTCTAGGAAAATATATACATACTTTTTTATTAGACACTAAATGAGAGCATATTATATTTACTGTTCTGTAATACATTTTTTCTTTTAACAATACTTAGGGAGAACTTTCCACACTGCACTTCATGGATATAACATAGTTTAGTTATCTATCAGTTTAGATTGATTTTGTTCTTTCCCTAATTGAAACAATGTTGCCACGACTATTTCTATAAATTACTGAGTTCACTTAAAATTTTTAATGGCTGTGCCAAACAACGGATTTTGGGGGGTACTGGGTTTTGAACCCAGGGCCTTTACAGTGAGCTACTTCCCCATTCCTTTTTTAGTTTTTATTTTGAAGTAGAGTCTTGTTAAATTACCCAGGCTAGGCTCAAATTTATAATCCTCCTGTCTCAGCCCCCCATGGGGTGCTGGGATTACAGGCCTGTGCTACTATATCTGGCTACAAAACTGCTTTTTTTTTTTTTTTTTTGTACCGGGGATTGAACTTGGGACCTTGCATTTGCAAGGCAGGTGCCAGAACCACTGAGCTAAACTCCCGGCCCCCAAATTGCTCTTAATAAAAGTATATCAATAGGTGAGACTTTATTTCTCTGTATTTTTGCTTGTTAGGATATTAGCAAGCTATTTGATTTTTGTTAACTTAATGTGTAGCTTTAACTGGCATTTATCTTATGAGGAAGATGTGCAAAGTTTTCACATATTTAAGAGTAATTTGTGTGTTTCTCTTTGTTATCTTTTTGTGTTTTTTCATATCCTTTGTCTATTTTTTGTTAGGCTATTGGTCTTACTGCCATGTAGAGGTTCTTTATATATAAATTAGCTTTTGTATAATAGTAGAAAATATAGTTAGCAGTTTGTCATTCATTCTTTGATTTTGTTCCTGGTATGCTTTAGATTTTTCATCCTGGTATTTGGAATTCATCCTGGTATAGAGATAAAGAAGGAATCTAAAATTTTCTTTCCAGTGGACTACTCAATTATCCTCACACCAATTAGTAAATAATCCATCAAAAGCCTACTAATACTGTCACCTTTAACATAAACTAAATTCCATTATAAATCTAAGCATTTTTTTCTAGACTTCTGAATCTTTTCCACTGATCATCTATTCACAGTGCAAGTATTACTATTTTTATTTTTTATTTTTTGTGGTACTGAGGCTTGAACTCCGGGACTTCATACTGAGCTACATCCCCAGCCCTTTTTATTTTGAGACAGAGTTTCACTAAATTGTCCAGTCTGGGCTCAAACTTGTGATATTCCTGCCTGAGTGCCCAGAGTGCTGGCCTTACAACAGTGTTCTACCATGCCCAGCTCAGGCATCACTGTGTTAATACTGCAGTTCTATAATTTATCAGCTAGGCCTAGGACCTTTACATTATTTTAATTTCCAGAAACCAAGATATTCTCATTTATTTTTCCAAATAAACTATAGAGTCTTCTGGTCCAGATTAAAAATAAATCCAATCCAGTATTAAAAATAAATCCTATTAAAAATAAAATCTGGTGCCGTCACCTGCCTCACAAGCGCAAGGTTCCAAGTTCAATCCCCAGTACCAAAAAACCCCCACAAAAAACAAAAAAACCCACCCTTTTAAAACATATTCACATATTTCTCTTTTTTGAGACAGAGTCTTGCTCTGTAATTCAGCCTGGCCTTAAACTCACTATGTAGCCCAGGCTGGCCTCATGGTAATCCTTCTGCCTCAGCTTCCCAAGTGCTGGGATTATGAGAGTGCACTACCATGCCCAGTTGAGAATATTTCTGTCAATAATCTCATCAATAAGGGACATAGCTTTCAGAACAGTTATGGAGCCCAAACACAGTTCAAAAAGACACTAAAACTTTCAGCACTTACCCCAAGTAAATGAATGAAAAAAAGAACAGCAACAACAGAGATGAAATAATAAGCCAGGCATGGATGACCTAGAAAAGAAAACATTTTAATATAATCAACAGATTATTAGCTTACTTTACAAAATAATGCTGGATTGATTTCTACCAAGGCAATAGGGCAAATATGTTAATTTGATGTTTTAATATGCATGCTTTTTTTAACTAGTGAAAAAATACACATTTATCCAGTTTATCTATCTATCAGTCATTTATACTCTATTTCCTTTGCAACTTCTCTAGGTTTTCTAGACTTACTATTATGTAAGTGCTCTTTATATTGTAAAAATATTAGCCTTTGCCTATAATGATTGCAAACAGTTTTTCTAATTAGATTGATCATTTATGTTATAATTTCCTGAATTATTACCTGAATTCAAAGCCTCTACTGATGATTATTAAATAGCACCCCCTTTCCTAGAACATCCAGTAGTGGGCAGATCCTTTTCATCTTGCAAAAATTGCTCGTAAACTTCCTTGTATTAAGTAATGGCTGGGAAAGACAAGAACCCTGCTTCAGTACACAACAGGGAGTATCTCCTCGAAACTCAACTCTGCAGGCAGAAATCACATGATCTGAATAAGTTATAGTTCCATCCATAGAAAATGATGTCCAATAATGAACTATCTTTTCTGTTGCTACTTCTGTAAGGATCGTTTGGTTTTTTCTAGCTTCTTGTGCTTTTTGCAGGCACTGCACAATCAACCACAGATATGAGAAGTCCTTGGGGTTAATTTCCGAACAGGCTCTGGCAAGCTTCTGAATTTCTGACTCAAAAGCTCCTTTACTTTACACTAGGAGTCAAGGTAAACAATTTCTTTCTATAGAACTGCCTATGCTTGCTAAGACAGGAACATTAAAAAAACAAAATACAAATGGACAAGTGGGGAATGTGGCTATGAACACTTTAAACTGTATGAAATTCAGCATAACTAAAGGATGCATAGAATTGACCCAAAACACATTAAGACAGGTTCTAGATATGTAGAGTAAGCATATTCCACCCTGTCTCTCCCACCAAATGCAACTACAAAACCTGGACAGAAAGCATGCTGCAGCTAGCTAAAGAGTATGAAGAGTGGAGAGCCATGTGGCCTGGGGAATAGGAAGCACCACCAAATTAGCAATGAATTTACCATTTTTTCCTCCATTCAGATCCACCTTCATCCACCTGAACTCAACACCACCCAGGTGGGCATTAGTAAGATAGTGGGGCTGCAGAAGTCTGGTGGCCTAAGGAGCAGAAATGGGTCTCCTAACACACAGAGAGCTGTGAAATCCTTTCTTTTTTCTTCTCTTTTTTCTTCTCTCTCATGCCCAGCTCTCATACAATGCTGGGCAGTCGCAATTGGGACACAGAAGCCCACAATTCAGAGGGAAGAGAACCTTCCTTTCTGACTGGAGGATCTGTAGTCCTCAGAGAATGGACAAACAGCCCTTGGTTTGTTTCTCCTCTCTGATCTCCCAACTTCTGGCAGTGACACTAGGAAAACACAGCCCAGCTTTCTGACTGAAGGAATGGAAGAATGAAGCTCAGAGAAGCAAGAAAGTAGCAGGGAAGTCACAGAAAAGGAGAAACTCATAAGAGCAACCTTTCTAAGCTGTTCATGAACTTGTGGTCCCCCTCCAAGGTGAGCATGTGTGGATTTGACCCTTGTCAAAAAAAAGGGCATTCAGACTCTGACAACCAAGTTATAGACAGAGAATGGTGACCAGTGGCACACACTTGAGCACTATCTGAGAAGCACTGCAAAAGCTTTGGATCTAACACAGTAACCACAGCCTATAGTAGGCTGGCTGGAACCTGGGACCTAAACCAATCAGATCAACTGGCCAACAAAACAAAAATATCAGCATTCTCCATGGGGTTTAAATAAAAGCGGAGCTCATAATATACATCATAATATTTTAAATGTCTTTTAAATATTTTAAAAAATACAACCAAAATAGTTGGCATACAAACACCTAGAAAATCTCAATTTGCATGAAAAAAGACTTAATAAACACAAATGTTAAGATGACACAGACATTCTATGTCTGTAACAATATCTTTCAGTAGTAAAGGTGAAGTAAAATCATTCTAGGAGGAAGGCAGCCCAAGAGAAACTAAAGCCAGCAAACTTGCTTTTCTAAAAGAACGACTTAGAGGGCCGGGGATTTAGCTCAGTGGTTTTGCCACCTGCTGCGCAAGCGCAAGGACCCGAGTTCAATCCCCGGTATCCAAAAAAAGAAAGAACTACTTAGAGAAGTCATTCAGACAGGAGGCAAATAAGCTGAAAGGAAACAGAAAATCAAGAATGAACAGGGCCGGGGATGTAGCTCAGTGGCACTGGGCTTGCCTGGCAAGCACAAGGTCCTGAGTTTGATCCTGGTACAAAAAAAAAGAATGAAGTAAGAACAACAAAAAAAGGTTAATAGATTATTTTCCTCTTAATGTGTTCTTTCACCCTCACTCCTTTCATTTTTAGGTACAAGGATTGAACCTAGATTTGCATTCATCCTAAGCTAGTGCTTTACCACTAAGCTACACTCCTAGCTGTTTTTTTTGTGTGTGTGTGTGTGTACCGGGGATCAAACTCAGGTCGTTGTGCTTGCGAGGCAGGCAACAGAACCACTGAGCTAAATCTCTGGCCCCTACCAGCTCTTAATATATTCCTCAAAATATGCTTGATGGTTGAATGAAAATTGTAACGTTGTCTGATGGGCAACTTCTTTTTTTTTTGGAGGGGAATCTCAATATGTTGCCCAGGCTGGCCTTGAACTATCCTCCTGCCTCAGCTTCCTGAGTACCTGGGATTACAGTGTGTGCCACCGTGCCTGGTTTTCTGATGACTTTTTACTTTTTTTTGGTGCCAGGGATCGAACTTGGGACTTTGCGCTTTCGAGGCAGGTGGCGGAACCACTGAGCTAAATCCCCGGCTTTCTGATGACTTTTTAACATATGTAGATTTAATATATAAGTCAATGGTTATGTAAGGAGAGGAGGGTAAAGAGATGTATAGAATGGTAGGATTTTTACATTTCAATTGAACTTGTAACATATTGATTCTAAGTAGACCATGAAGATTTAAAATAGATATGCTGAAAAATCCTGTAACTAAAGAAACTGGACTTATAGCTTGCAATATTCCAAAAACGAAAATTCTAGGCACTTACAAAGTTTACCAAACATTTAAAGAAATGGCAATAGTCTCTCCCAGAAAACAGAATTAGAAGGAAACACACACTCGTCAACCTAGTCTATGAAACCACTATTTTTTTATAGTGTTATTTGTTTGTACACAACTTTTTTTTTCTCTTAAATTCTTTTATTGGTACATTTTGGGTATACAATACATTTACATTTATCATCGGGAACTTGTACCTTTACATGCTGTATCTTGGTTATGAAACCACTATTATCCTGTATTAAGGTTTACATAAAAAATGTTCTCCAATCCGGGCTGGGGATGTAGCTAGTGGCACTGCACCTGGCTGGCAAGCACAAGGCCCTGAGTTCAATCCCCAGTACTGGGAAAAAAGTTTTCCAAGATCCTCATACACTCATACACAGACCTTTGGAAGGTGACTGGATTATGGGGTTTCTGCAGCTCACTTGCTGTTCGGAGGCAGAGTCTAGTAGGAATAGGGTCACTGGGGACACGACCTGGAAGAGTGCATTTCGCTATGCAGATCCTCCCTTCCAGCTTTGCTTCCTGGCTGCTAACAAGTGAGTAGCCATCCTCTGCCCCAACCCTTCTACCATGCCTTCCTACCATGCCTTCCTACCTTGGAGCCAGTCAATTATGGATTAAAAACATGAGCCAAAATAAACCTCTCCTTTTAAGGTGTGGTGTTAGGTATAGTATTTTGTCCCAATGATGAGGAAAGCAACTAAGACACTCTGATAACAGAACTATTCAAAGATAGCATGAGAAAACTACATCTGTATCTTGAATACAGATGCAAAATCCTCAACAAAATGTTTGCAAATTGAATCCAGCAAAGTATAAAAAGAATGAACCGTGTCAAATGGGATTTATCCTGAGAATGTAAGGCTCATGCACAGAGGGACTCTGGGATCCAAGTTTGAGTCTAGCCCGGGCAACTTAGTGAGACTCTGTCTCAAAATAAAAAATAAAAAGGGCTGGCTAAATGCAAAGGCCCTGGGTTCAATCCTCAGTACCACCACTACAATAAAAAAAAAAAAAAATCAGTTTATTTACAGTCTAGAGAGAACCCCCACACACACATAATCATGTCAACTGATACAAAAAAAAAAGCACTTGATGAAATTTATCACCTATTAATACTAAGTCCCTAGGAATACCCAACATATTTAATGATGAAAGATTAAATACTTTCCCCCAAGACAAGTAGCAATACATGTATGTCTATTCTCATCATTTAAGACAGTACTAGAAGTTGTAGCCAATGAGTCCTCTGTGGGACATGTCTTTCCTAGCACTGCCTGCATATTCATTTTAATCATTAATTCTCTATGAAGCAAAAGACACAGGTAACCAGAAAACTAGAGGCATAGATATAAGTACAAAATTCAATCCCTGAACAATGGGCCTACATGATTCCATCCCTCACACACCTTCCATTCCATCCACCCATCCTATGGGGCATAGACTCACTTGAGCATGTTGATTCAGTGTGCACAAGGACTTCATATAGACTCAGTAGGGAGTTACAAAGAAAATGTGTATAACACACAGAATCCCTTCATAGAAAAGTAAAAAGAACTTAAAAAGAAAAGGCACTGTCAACACATAAACAAAAACAACCAATTTCATCTGTACCCTAATTGCTAGAAAGACATGAGGTCAACAGAGCTGACACAGGAAATCTGCTCAGGGCTAAGAAGACAGCACTCAGGCTGGAGAAATGTGGAGCAACTGTAGAGCAGGAAAGGTGAGAGGACGCTCTAGACAAGTCACAGGGTGGTACACTGGAGTGTGAAGAGGATGCAGTAACCATGTCTGTGTGTGCTTTAGTCCAGAATTATAGATTTTAATTTAATTGATAAGCTGGAAACCACTGAAGTAACTAAAAGAGACTTCTATTCTAGCAATATGAAAAGTCAGATTCTGAAAACTTTCTATAAAATATAATTAATACTAAATGTTTTAAATATATTTTGAATTACACAGTTTGAGCTCCAAAGAAGGAGAGACATTTTTAGAATCCCCTCTTCCCAAAAAAATAGGGAAGCAGAAATCAGGTGGGTTAGATGGTACAAAGTCATTAGGCAGCTTAAAGGTATATGCCCATCTTCAATAATTCTGAATTTTAGATTTTAGTATCCATGCAAAATATGGATCTCACAGAATTTCCAAAACTGTACCTTAATAAATATAAACTCGAAATGATCATAAAATACTAGAGGAAATAAGTCACTATGAGTAATAGTCAATAGAGTTACATTCTTCCCTTGGGCTGGGGATTTAGCTCAGTGGTTCCAGCGCCTGCCTCACAAGCACAAGGTCCCGAGTTTGATCGCCAGTACCAAAAAAAAAAAAAAAAAAAAAAAAAATTAAAACAATCAAATATCCCCAGCACTGCAAAAATAAAACAAAAAATATCTACCAAATAGAAATTCTAGAAATAAAAAATATACACTTAGTAATATTTGAAGAAAATCACCTGAGATGAAAAAAATTCCAAAGCATACTATTAAGTTAGAAAAGAAAGGAGATGGGAGGGAGGGGAGAATTATTATTATAAAACAGTAGATTTAATATGCCTCAATTTCTGTTCTTGAAAGAAGTACATATTTATTAGTATTCAGGTAAAAAGCAAAAAGATGCACATCAAACTGTTAACAGCAGTAGATCTGAGGAATGGTAGTAATGAAGATAATTCCGATATGTACAGTTATACCTTGTCTGAATTTTTTTAACAGTGAACATGTCCTCCTCCTCTTCCTTCTATTATTATTATTACTATTTTTGCAGTGCTGGGGACTGAGCCAAGGACTTTACACATGCTGGGCAAGCATTCTAGTTCTGAGCTACATCCCTAGCCATACTATTTTTGCTTGTGTGATATTTGAAAAGGAGAAGGTGAAGTTTAGAACAATGATGGTGAACCTTTTAGAGCTTTCAATGATACAAACAGCCCACTGCAGAATATCTGCCACAGGTTCACCACCACTGGTTTAGAAGGTCAGCTAAGAAATCAAGGCAGGGGAATCATGTACAAAAGGGCAGGAATCAGAAATGCTAGACATGAAGAATTAATAAATGTAACTCATTAGTTATGGATAATAATAATGGATATAACAGATGGCGATGATTACAAAATTAAGAGCTAGAAGGCCCTGGCAAAGCAGACCTACTGATGATAAGGGGATGGCATAAAAGATAATCAGTTCAATTTCTGTACTAGCAGATATCTGAGTGGCACTGATATACAAAGGAAAAAAATCAACTAACCATGGGCCTAATAAGCAGAGACTTCTAGGCTAAAAGTTGTATTTGAGGATGCAGACTGAACCATGAAGTTATATGCACTTTTCCAAGAAGCAATGAGAGAGACAAAAAGTCCAGTGTCCAGACTCAGGAAAGACCAAAAGCAAAAGAAAGAAACAATGTCAAGAAGAACAGAGTGATCAATAAGCCAGTGGCAATAAGGTCCACAGAGCTGGGGATTTAGCTCAGTGGCATTGAGCCTGCCAGGCAAGCACAAAGGTCCTGGGTTTGATCCCTGGTACTGGGAAAAAATAAAAAAAGGTTCAGAGAAATTAAATTTAAAAAGGTCAACAGATATGATCAAGGGAAATACTGGCAATATAAGCAGTTTCCATGGAGCCAAGAGAAGAGAGAATGTTTGAGAGCATTAAGAACTGGATCTGAGAGGAGTCTTATGTAATGGCTGAGTGCTGATCCAGGCCAAACTTCGCTTAGATCCCCATACTGACCCATTAGCTTCTACACTTGATCTTAGCCAAAAGGCCGAGAAGCGATGACCCATTAGCTTCTAACCCATATAACCGTGTGACTGCTACCTCAGCTCCCATCTGTAAAACAGGGATAATAGGAGGGCTACTTCACAGAGCTATGAAGATTAAATGAAACAAGGCAAAAATGGTTTGTATGGCTTAATACACTGTCCTCTAAACATTACTGCTCGAGGTGGGGATAGCTCATTCACATTTAAGAGCAGAGAAAAGGAGAGGTAGTTTAGAGTCTGGTGTTTTCTCTTTCACATGTGAAAATAAGCAAATACATAAAAATTAAATAATTTCTAAGATTCTTTGGAAAAAGAATTTAGGTAATCTTAAGTTTAGTGTTCCACCTATCTAATTACACAGGTATTTTACAAAAGAAAACCAGAGAACTTGGAGCGAATTCTAGATTACAAGAAAAAGTAGAAATTCACCCCTTAATAAAATCTGAAAATGAACAAAATAGTATATCATTCAGATAAAAGTCAAAAAGTGAGTTTAATGAAGCAGAAAAATAGAACCATCAGGTAAACACTTGCAGATATTGATAAAATATACAGCTGGTGATATGGAGAAAGAAAACTGAGAAAAAGCACATTCAAAGCAGAGTAAGGGTTTAAGTCATTTGCTCTTTGGATTGAGTGCTGAGAACCTGTTATCACACATAACTTTCATCTTCTCTCCATATAATAATGGCAGCCCACAAATGGTCATCCCTTATGGTAACTATTCTACTCACTCACAGGCTCAACAGGTTCAACAAGCTAGGTTAAGCTCTGGATCATTTTAGAGTTTGTGAGAATTAAGAAAATATTCCATCTTAACTAGTAATCAACTACATGAAAGTTAAGACATTTTCTCTGCCTATAAAAATTATCACCACTTAAAAAAACTCGCCAGGCATAATGGTCCATGCCTGTAATCCCAGCACTTTGGGAGGCTGAAGCAGGAGGATCACTAAGAGTTCAAGGTCAGCCTAGGCTACATAGTGAGTTCAAGGCCAGCCTGAACTACATAGCCAGAACCTGTCTCGAAAAAACCAAAACCAAAACAAAACAACAAAAAAACCCTCAATGTTGTGAAGGTGGGGTAAGATAGATACTCTCATTCATTACTGGCGTTAAGCACAAATTGATATATCCCTTTTGAAAATGAAGTTTGCATTCTGAGTTAAAAATGCAGATTCAATTTGCTCCAGAAATTCCACATCTAGGATTTTGCCCTAAGGAAATTACTGAAAAAGTTCTATGCATAGGGCCAGGGATGTAGCTCAGTGGCGCAGCACCTGCCCAGCAAGCGTGAGGCCCTAGGTTCAATTCCTGGTACCAAAAAATAAAAGTGAAAAAAACAAAAAAAAGTTCTAAGCATAAAGACATCATTGTTTTTATAATAGTGAATAAGCGGAAACAAAATGTCCAATATCAGAGAAATCAGAAGACATAATTACAATATACTCATTGAGTCCAAAATTATGTAGCTATAGAAATATTTTCTAAGAATCTGAAACAGAAAAAAATGCTTATGTCAAAGTAAAAGCTAAGGAAGGGCACATACTGATTATATATTTTAACTATGTTTTAAAAATATACTAGAGGGCCAGGGATTTAGCTCAGTGGCATTGCGCCTCCCTGGCAAGCACAAGGCCCTAAGTTTGAATCCCTAGTGCCA